GCCGGCGGGAGAGGGGGGGGGGGGGGAAGGGGAGGCTGCGTACCTTGTTTCAGGGTGAGGGACGAGAGGCTGCTGACGAAGGACGACATGATGATGGACTCCTCCTCGGGGCACACGGTCAGATTCTGAAAGAGACGGGCGCGGCTTAGGGGGCGTCTCACGGGCCGCTAGGGTGCAGGGCGCTCATGGCTCCTGCAGGGCTCCCAAGGGCCAGGGAATTTCCCCTCCCAGGGCTGCGCGTCTGGCTGATCCAGCTCCCCCAGCCCTTCCCCGGCCTACCTGGATGATGTCGCTGAGCAGCAGGGCGTCGAAGCGAGCCAGGTACTGGACGTGGTAGCGCTGGATCACCAGGCTGTGCCTGCGCACCAGGACACGCAGCTGCTCCATGAGGAAGAGCACCTCAGCAATGTGACTGCAGCGGTGACACGGCTTTTGGGGAGGCAGGGCTGCGCCCCAGCCACCCTGCCCAGGTTTGTGGGCCCTTTGCTTCTGCTGCCAAACCCACAACGCTCCCCTCCGCATCCTAATGCGCTGGCCATGCCTCCAGGGGCCAGGCCAGGATGGAGCCGAATCTGACAGCTCCAGCTGGAAACAGGATGCTGGGGGCAGCCCCGCACCGCCTCGCACCCACCACAGTGCCACATGGCTCCCGCCACACCCCTCACACAGGTGTCCACACAAGCTGTGATCAGCCCACCGCCCAGGGGCACGTGTTCCCCTCTAGGTTCCCCAGGGACGCCTGTGCCCACGGAGCTAGGGCTGCCAACTTCCCGACCCAGGGCAGGACCCACCGCAGCTCCCCTTCCCTGCAGGAGCCATCTCCCCTCGCATGCTCTTAGCTCATGTCTTTCAGGCTGCGCCAGGCAAAGCGGGTGCCACTTGCAGCATCCAGCCCACCTGCCCACTGGCCGAATTGGGCCCAGGATTGTTACCTGAGCCACAAACTGCTGTCATGTCACTTGGGTCCATTTCCTAACCCCCAGGCTGTGGGGCCCTGAGCAAAGACCCGGCCCTTCTTCTCTGCCCAGGAGGCCCACAGGTCCAGCATGGGTCCCACTCAGCATGGGTCCCACGGCCTCCCATGTCTCACAGCGACCAGTGTCCGTCTCCCCC